TCCAGGTGTGTCCAGGTGTGTTTGGGTGTGTTCAGGTGTGTCCAGGTGGGATCTGAGAGCTTGGACAGGTGTGTCCAGGTGTGTCCAGGTGTGCTCAGGTGTGTCCAGGTGGGATTTGAGGGCTGGGACAGGTGGGATTTACCTGTACAGGTGTGCCCAGGTGTGCTCAGGTGTGTCCAGGTGGGGTCTGAGAGCTTGGACAGGTGTGTTCAGGTGTGTCCAGGTGTGCTTGGGTGTGTCCAGGTGGGGCCAGGTGGGATTTGAGGGCTGGGACAGGTGGGATTTACCTGTCCAGGTGTGCTCAGGTGTGTCCAGGTGTGTCCAGGTGGGATTGAGCACCTTTTCTCTACAGCCTGGGGGCCCTGGGGGCTTACCTGGGCTACCTGCACCTGTACAGGTGTGCGGGGTCACGCCTGCCCACCCTGGTGAGTGATGGGGGTGGGATTTGCCTGTACAGGTGTGTCCAGGTGTGTCCATGTGGGGCCAGGTGGGATTTGAGGGCTGGGACAGGTGGGATTTACCTGTCCAGGTGTGTCCAGGTGTGCTCAGGTGTGTCCAGGTGTGTCCAGGTGTGTACAGGTGTGTACAGGTGTGTCCAGGTGGGGTCTGAGAGCTTGGACAGGTGTGCTCAGGTGTGTCCAGGTGTGTCCAGGTGGGATTTGAGGGCTGGGACAGGTGGGATTTACCTGTACAGGTGTGCTCAGGTGTGCTCAGGTGTGTCCAGGTGGGGTCTGAGAGTTTGGACAGGTGTGTTCAGGTGTGTCCAGGTGTCCCCAGGTGTGTCCAGGTGTGTCCAGGTGGGATTTGAGCGCTGGGACAGGTGGGATTTACCTGTCCAGGTGTGTCCAGGTGGGATTGAGCACCTTTTCTCTACAGCCTGGGGGCCCTGGGGGCTTACCTGGGCTACCTGCACCTGTACAGGTGTGCGGGGTCACGCCTGCCCACCCTGGTGAGTGATGGGGGGACAGGTGGGATTTACCTGCCCAGGTGTGTCCAGGTGGGGCCAGGTGGGGTCTGAGAGCTTGGACAGGTGTGCTTGGGTGTGTCCAGGTGGGGTCTAAGGGGTTTGGACAGGTGGGGTTTACCTGTCCAGGTGTGCTCAGATATGTCCAGGTGGGATTTGCTTGTCCAGGTGGGGTCCAATTTACCTGTCCAGGTGTGTCCAGGTGTGCTCGGGTGTGTCCAGGTGGGATTTGAGGGCTGGGACAGGTGGGATTTACCTGTCCAGGTGTGTCCAGGTGTGCTCAGGTGTGTCCAGGTGTGCTCAGGTGTGTCCAGGTGTGCTCAGGTGTGTCTAGGTGGGGTCTGAGAGCTTGGACAGGTGGGGTGGGGTGGGATTTACCTGTCCAGGTGTGCCCAGGTGTCCCCAGGTGTGCCCAGGTGTGTTCAGGTGTGTCCAGGTGTGCTCAGGTGTGTTTGGGTGTCCCCAGGTGTGTCCAGGTGTGTCCAGGTGTGTCCAGGTGGGATTTGAGGGCTGGGACAGGTGGGATTTACCTGTCCAGGTGTCCCCAGGTGTGCTCAGGTGTGTTTGGGTGTCCCCAGGTGTCCCCAGGTGTCCCCAGGTGTGCTCAGGTGGGATTTCGGGGTGTTCTGGGCTGGAATTTCGGGGGGAGGGGTTTAACCCTTTCCGTTCCTTCTCTCTCTCCGCTGCCTCCCAAGGAGCCCGGGTAAGTCCCGCCCCCAAAATTCCCATTTTTTACCCCAAAATTCCCCTTTTTTTACCCCAAAATTCCCCTTTTTTACCCCAAATTTCCCATTTTCATCCCTAAATTCCCATTTTTTACCCCAAAATTCCCATTTTTACCCCAAAATTCCCATTTTTTACCCCAAAATTCCCATTTTCATCCCAAAATTCCCATTTTTTACCCCAAAATTCCCATTTTCATCCCAAAATTCCCATTTTTACCCCAAAATTTCCCTTTTTACCCCAAAATTTCCCATTTTCATCCCAAAATTCTCATTTTTTACCCCAAAATTTCCCTTTTTTACCTCAAATTTCCCATTTTCATCCCAAAATTCCCGTTTTTTACCCCAAAATTCCCGTTTACTCCCAAAATTTCCCTTTTTAGCCCAAAATTTCTCATTTTCGTCCCAAAATTTTCCGAAGTTATTTTTATTATTATTTATCATTAAATAATTTATTATTGCCTAATAATTCATTATAAATGATACAATAAAAAATTTAATTTATGGATTTTTTTTTAATTAAAAAGAATTAATTTGAATTTAATCGAATTTTTTCTTTCTTTTTTAATTTTTTTTTGTCTTTTTTGTC